CGGGTGGATCCGCGGTGAAGCTAGGAGAGGGAGCGGAGGGGGCGGGAAAAAAGGAGCCGCTCCAGCGCCATTTCTCTGGCTCGCGGGGCGGCAGCTCTCACCCTTTGTCGCGGTGCGTGCAGGGCCGCCGGAGAGAGAAAAAAGGGAGGGAGGGAGGGGATGAAGGAGGGGAGGAGAACAGAGCGGCGGAGCGGGCGGCGCGCCCGATGCCGACGGTGCGGGATAGAGGGGAGCGGGCTGCGGCGAAGTCCGCCTCCCTCCGCCGGGGCCCCGCAATGTGTCGTGCTTGTGTCAAAATCTGTGTAGTTCTCACTTCCTTCTGCCCGGGCGGAGGGGGAAGGGGGCCAGGGCGAGGTTTCGGGGGGCGATGAGCGGCCCCCCCCGACTGATACGAACGCCGAGGTTTGAGCCTTCGGGGCCTTTTGTCAATTTCCGGAAAAAACAAACTGACACGGTGCCAGCAGCGTTCGAGGCCGCTTCGGCTGCGCTCGGGCACGTCTCGCGAGCCTGTCGGTTGTCGGAAACTGCCGAGCTGGCTGAAGTAGTCGATGACTTGCTGCGTCTTTCTGTCCGGAAATTGCCGAGCTGGAGCCGAGCGCAATTTTCGCGTGCTGCGGCAGATTCCGGAAATTACCGAAGCGAGCCGAATGGGCTTCCATTCCTGGTTCGGCTTTTTCCGGCGGCTGTCGAAGCGGATAAGCTGTACGAGGACATCTCCTTCGGCTCATTTCGGAGACGGCCATTACTAACGGAGTCGATGACTTTTCATTACATGATAAATACACGTAGGGGCGTTATTCAGAACTGCAGCCCCTTTGGAGATATTTAAGCTCCAGATCCTGTTTGTTTTTTTCTCTATTTTTCTTTTTTTTTTTTTTTTTTTTTTTTTTTTTAAATTAAACCTCGGAAGCGAGTCCGGGCTGGAGTAGGAGGGCGCTAACACTACGCGAAGCTGAATTTCAAATTACGTAACAGCGCAGGCAGCCATTACCGACCGGTTGTACGGTACTCTCGAGCAGGAATACGTAAACCATGAAGAACATGGTACGTGGAATGGGAGGATTTAGAGTTTGCTTTTAAGGAGGGAGACGCGATTGCTTGTGCAGACGAAGTGAATTTTTTCGGGGCTGGGAATTACAAGCAAGCTTGAGTCGTCCGCGCAAGTCCGGGCGCTGCTGCCGGGTCGCAACGCGGGGCGGATGCTGGATGCCTTTGCGCAGAGGAAGGTTCTGGAAGCGGCGGCTGGGGCTGGCGCGCAGCCGGGCGAGGTGGCGGAAGCTGCGGTAACCGCGCATGGCGGACAGCGCGTTCTTGAGCCCGTGGCCATGCCTATTA